ATTAAAATAAAATAAAGACCCTTCCTACCCTATTGTCTTCCTTTTCCTCCTCCATTGGGTAAGAAGAATTTCTGGCTTTGGATCCCTGGAGAACATTTTTTTCTCAAATTTACAATCATGTCCCACTGTCCAGGAAGGTATGAGGATCAGGGCGAGAGGGTGAGAGGGAGTGGGAAAGCTTGCTTACGAATTGGCTTTTTCAGAAACTGGACCTACTCTGACCCGTGTTTAAATTGGCCTCAATAAACATACAGATACACGGAGCTGTTTGCAGAAATTCAACTGTAATCACAAATACACCGGTGCAGACATGCAGGCACGTGCAGCCTCCAGCTGTGCTCTGCAAATACACAGGCACGATCGATCACACACGGAAATGTGGACACTGACATCTGAGTAAGCAGACAAGTGTAACCACAAGACCCGCAGACCCAGACCATCCTACACATAAACAGAGGGTCCAAAGCAATCACAAAATAGCACTGAGGCCAGAGGGTGACGCTCACTTACAGACTCCTGTTCACGGGGGCACCTGGCACCGTGCACAGCTACTGGGACATGCACGTTCATGCTTCCTCTGAGCAGGTAGTCTGTCAGCTCTCTACCAGTGCCCGTCCACCCCATCCCGGCCCACCCTGTCACACCCCATCACACAATCACATCTTCCGGCACAGCCCCAGGGGTCCACGGCCTCTCGACTTCACACACATGGCTACACCCACATAAGCTCATGCTGGGTCACAGCAGAGATGTACCACCCTAGAGGAGCACGTCCACATACACACCACCTCCTCCTCCCCCAGTGATGCTATCGGACAGTGATGGGGACGCACAGTCTCAGCCTCACACAAACAGCACCCGCTCTCACACTCACATGTACAGCTCATGCCCACAGCCACGTTCAAGAGGACAGATTCGTACACTCTCCAGCCTGGCCACTTGCCGCAAGTGTTCCTTCTGGCTTCTCCACATCACAGGAGGGAGCAGCAGCGAGGACCAAGTGTAGCCAGTCACTGAAGGGTCTGGGGAGGGAGCTATTGGCCACACTTATGGGGCTTGGGGCCTTGGGAGTACCTTAGCTTCTCCCAGAGACAGCACCCCTTCCCCTGGCCCTCATTCCTGGGGTGGGAGGCAGCTTGGCTCTGGAGTTTGTTATTCTTTCTCTCTAGAGCCCAGTTTGATGGGGTAGGGGTGGTTGGTGCCAACTTTAACTCGGGGGCCCTCAGGAGCCCCGTGCATCGTGAAACTGCTGCTCCCCGGTCCCTGTCTTGTGGAGGCCAGAGCTGACTCCTGAACCCCAAGTCCGGGGTTTACAGCAGTGGCTTCTGGAGCCAACTGTCTTGTCCCCTCAACTTTTGCTGAGGCTTCTAGTAGGAGGTGTAAGAGTGTGGGAAGGATTGTGCCTCTGAGGACTGTGCAATAATATGCCTGAGTGACTGTGGTGTGTGTGTGTGTGTGTGTGTGTGAGATTGTATGCCTGGGTGTGAAATGATCATGTCTCTGTCAAACAAAATGTGTCTATGAGCTTGAGTGTGTGTCTGAATGTGCAGCTGTGCCTCTGTCTGTGTGGACGGCAGGGACAACCTGAGAGTGTTTCTTTGTGCATGAAGGTTTCCGATAGGGGACTGGGTCTGTGTTGCAGGGGCTATGTGTTCCCGCGTGTGTTTGTAGCATTCCAGGTGGGAATGGCTTTGCATGACTCAGCGTCAGAACAACCATGAAGGGTGATTTTGAACGTATGAACTTTCAATGATTCCCTGCTGCCTACTGAATAAAGTCCCAATTCCCCTACCTGATATCCAGCCCGTAGGGTGTCCTTCCCACCCCCAGATCTTCAATCTTCAAACTTCTCTCCACTTCTTTCCCAACACATCTATCTCTAGCCAGTTAAGTTGGTCTCCTTAGAGCCTTTTGTGCACATCGAGCTCATTTGACCTCTGTACCGTTGTGTGTGCTTGTTTTCCCCCCACCGAATACCCCTTTCTTTCAATTCCCACCCAGGCTGCAGGGTCCAACTGATTTTGTGCAATAAGTACCCCAGTCTTCCCCATCCCAAACCTGCTTTTGTCCTAACTGCTTGTCTTAGTAGATGGTGTTGAAGGAGGTTTAAAAAGGGAAATATTTGATCAGAATTGGGGAGCTTTCCTGGGCCTCTTGCTTTGGGAACGAGGATCTGACTGTTTCTCTTCCTTTATCCTCCAGGTTGGGCTCTGTTATTGTCTTCCAGTGCCTCCCCTTCCCTCTTGTTTATTTTCTTATCTATCAAGTAGGTCCACCATAGCAGCCTGAAACTTCACGTTTCCTCTGATGAATGTGTAGGATTTATGTGATTATTGTATCTGACTGCTCCATAGATGCTAAACATGTGGAAGGACCCATGTACACCCTGTAGGGCCAAGATGGTGGAAGGGGCCGTGTGCCTCTGGAAACTTTCCCTTGATTGTGGTGAGAACTGTATGTCATAAGAGCCCAAGAATTCATAACAAGAAGAAAAGACCACAGAGGAGGTCTCTGAGTATAAACATCGTTGAATTGGGGGCAAACCTTCCATTCTCAGTCCCATAGTTGCCAACTCTTCTGATAACATCTCCAACCACTGTCATGGCATATGAGTTGTCATGGTGATAGGAGGAAAGAACTGGGAAAGGATTATAAAAACTCGGGATGGGGACTTCCCTGGTGGCGCAGTGGTTGAGAATCTGCCTGCCCATGCAGGGGACACCGGTTCGAGTCCTGGTCCGGGAAGATCCCACATGCCGCAGAGCAACCAAGCCTGTGCGCCACAACTACTGAGCCTGCGAGCCACAACTACTGAAGCCCACGAGCCTAGAGCCCTGTCCGGCAACGAGAAGCCACTGCAATGAGAAGCCCACGCACCGCAACGAAGAGTAGCCCCCACTGGCTGCAACTAGAGAAAGCCCGTGCGCAGCAACGAAGACCCATTGCAGCCGAAAATAAATAAATAAATTTATAAAAACAAAACCAAAAACTTGTGGTGGGAGAAGGGGTTTTAATTCGTTTAAGCCTTTGGCAAAACGTGTCGAGTTTGGGGTATTGTACCCTCTGCTCTCAACGTGCAGGCTCATCAGGTAATAGGGTGACCAAACATCCTGGTTTGCTCAGGACGGAGGAGGTATTCTGGACATGGGAGTTAGAGTTTTAAAAACTAGGACAGTTCTGGGCACACCAGGACAAGTTGGTGACCCTGTCAAGAAACGTAAAAATTCTCTAAGAATTGAGGAGATAGTATAGTCCACATCCCTCTCTCCATTAGTCTGGGACCTCCAAGAAGACCATAGTTACTAAGGAGGGACCCAGTTCTGGTAACAAGGAGCATCACCTCCCTGGGGAGCCGGGATGAACCTTCAGTTTTCCTGCAGTCTAAATACCCAGCAGCTGATTTCTCCTTGAAAGGAAGTTGGAGTGGTGAGGCCAGCCCCTGGCTGGGGCCCAAGGAACAGACTCCATGGGGAACCTATTAGGGGGTGACAATGAAGCACTGTTTGAGTCCCATACCTTGCCACCCCAGGCCTCATCGCAGCCATAATTAGGAGGAGCTGGAAAGGGGATGAGATAGGAGCTGACATCTACTCTGACCGTGCTCCACCTCTCCTTGGAAGCCCCTATCATAACTCCTGGGGTCCACTCCTGCCCTGCTCTTGCATGAAGGGGCTTCATGGGCAGAATGCAGTGCCTTGGGCCTTGCCCATGTGCACCTGAGTCAGGGAGACAAGGAAAATCTGTCAAAATTGTAAACTCTGGGTATACAAAAATCCCAAGAGTACTGGATCTGAAGGGTCCAGCATGACCTGGAGCACTGTGGTTGCCTTTGCCCTAGAGGTTTATGGAATTTCCTCTCCAGACCCCAACTCTGCCTCTGGATGTTGTAATCTTAACACAAAGCAGTCCACACTACCTGACCACGTGCTAATCTGAGCAGACTCATAACCCTCAATGAAACTTAAATCCACCAATACTTAGCTCCTACTCTTAAGCTTTAAGAAACATCAACCATTATCCATAACCCTAAATACGTCTTAAAGTGACCCCACACATGTTGATTTGATACTCAAAATACTCTTCTTATGCCTTACTTTCATCTAGTTCTGAACCTAGGCTAACTGTAATAATAACTAGACTGTGACGTAAGCTTATCACAAATGTTGTCCACATACCAACTTAATTTAAATCGAACAGAGCTCTAACATGAGCTAAACTCTAACTCAAATTTAATCTAGCAATAAAAAAAGAAACCTGAATTCTCATCTTAAGTAGTCCTGCCCTTTAACACTAACTATAAAATATTTCTAACATTTCTTTTTTTTATATTGAAGTACAGTTGATTTACAATGTTGTGTTAGTTTCAGGTGTACAGCAAAGTGATTCAGTTACACACACATTCTTTTTCAGATTCTTTCCCCTTATAGTTTATTACAAAATATTGAGTACAGTTCTCTGTGCTATATAGTAGGTCCTTGCTGGCTATCTGTTTTATATATAGTAGTGTGTACATGTTATTTCTAATATTTCTAATAAGAGCTCAAATTTATCCAAACCCTTACTCCTAAATTTATCCCAAATCCACTATTAATTAGAATCAATCCAAATTGTAAAATTTACATAATTTTAATCCAATCCTAAATTTGTCCATTTGTAACCTAACCCTGGCTTTACCCTAACTCTAACCCTAGTCTTAGCCATAACATGAACGCTAACCATATTCTAACCATAACCATAGTTCTGATCCTTTCCTATTCTCTATCACAGCCCTGAAATAAATTAATCTTGCTCAAATTCTAACCCAACTATAGGATTTTAGGAACGAGCTCATGTAGGTTCTGGTGCTGCTTGGCCATTGCCCTGAGAGATGGAATATGTAGGCTAATAGGGAAAGATATTTGCCTCACCAGATTCCATCCCATTCTTTGGCATGAGTGGGTACTGAAGATGTTCTCTTGGGGTCGAGGTGAGCAGAAGCAGACTTACTGGTCATGAAGGACCTCAGAAGAGCAAGAATCTAGAAACACTTGCAGCCAATACGGCTCCTATCTGGTGTTTCTGGGAATCATCCTCTTAGAAGTTCAAGTGGCAAATAAACTTAGTTACTGCACCTGGTGACATGCAGGAACTTCCACGTTCTGAACATCGAGGAACCCAAGGCATCTCAACAGCCAATTAACTTGATCTTGATTCTGGCGCTGGGGCTAGATTACTCCAGGTTCCTGTCTCCTGTCTGTAAGCTTCAGTTTCTCCCCTTTTCTCCCCCTCAAACAATGACAAGAGACACCCAGCCAGAGGAACCTCCACCTTTACCCACAGTGACCGGGCCCGGGAAGAGCTCTCCTCATCTCTTCAGAGTCAGTCCTAACCAGTCTCTCAGACCTCGCACTCGTGCGCCGGCCTCGGACAGCAGCAGTGCTTCCAGTTCCTTCCGAGCACCTCCCTGACCTCTTTGTTGCGGAGGCTGTAGGTGAACGGGTTGAGAGCTGGGATGACAAGGGTGTAGAACACAGATGCCATCTTGTCAGTGTCCAGGGTGTAGCTGGAGCTGGGGCACAGGTTCATGAAAATGATTGTCCCGTAAAGCATGGCCACGGCCGTGAGGTGGGAGCCACAGGTAGAGGCTGCTCGCCACCGGCCCTTGGCCGAGTGCATGCCGATCATGGCTCCGGCAATGAACCCGAGGACACGGCGAAAGCCAACACGGTGGCTGTCTGGATGAAGCCACAGACGACGAAGAGGAGAAGTTCACTGAGACTGGTGTCGTTGCAGGAGATGGCCAGCAGTGGAGGGATATCGCAGAGGAAGCTGTTCACCTCCCGAGAGCCGCAGAAGCTCAGGTGGAAGGTGAAGGTCGTGTGGACCACGGCACTCACTGCCCCACCCAGGCCTGATGCTGCCAGAAAGACCAGACACAGATGCCGCGACACGGCAGTGGTGTAGAGAAGAGGGTTTCCGATGGCCACATCGCAGTCATAGGCCATGGATGTCAACAGGCAACACTTGGCATCCGCCAGCCCTGTAAACAAAAACATCTGGAGGGCATAGGCTGCGTAAGGGATGGAGATGCAGGGCAACAGCTGGTCTACGAGCATCTTGGCTCTGATGGCTGAGGAATAGCAGGCATCCAGCAGGGAGAGGTTGGCCAGGAAGAAGTACATGGGTGTGTGGAGCTGGGCGACCACGTAGACTAGCAGCACCATGCCCACATTTCCCAGCAGGCTCACCAGGTAGACGGGCAGGAAGATCAGGATGAGGGTCAGGTGCAGGTCCCAGCGATCTGTGATGCCCAGGAGGATGAACTCCGTAGGGGCACCCCTGGCCCAAGTGAAGTTCTCTGGCATCATCCTGCAGGACAGAGTCTGGGGAGAGACAAAGCAGGAGGGAGGTGAGGGAAAGGTTAGGACCATCACCTGTGAGAAAGCGCTTTGTACTGGGAGACAGGTAGACTTGGGTGTGAGTCCTAACTGTGTAACAAAATAGCGGTGTGACCTTGGACAAGCCATATCACCTCTCAAAACCTGTGTTTTCAGTGCTGAGAAGTCACTATCATTTAACCTTCATGAGAGGGGGAATCTTGCCTGTCTTATTCAATTTTGAATCCACAGTTCTGAGAATATTGCCTGGCACATAGTAATTGCTCAGTAAATACGGGCATACCTCATTTTATTGCACTTGGCTTTATCATGCTTCACAGATGGTGCTTTGTTTCTTGCTTATGTTTTTGTTTTTTACAAATTGAAGGTTTTGGCACTATTTTTCTGACAGCATTTGTTCACTTCATGTCTCTGTGTCACATTTCAGCAATAATCACAGTATTTCAAACTTTTTCATCATTATTGTATTTGTTATGGTGATCTGTGATCAGTGATCTTTGATGTTACTATTATGATTCACTGAAGGCTTAGATGATGATTAGCATTTTTAGCAATAAAGTGTTTTAAAATTAAGGTACATACACTGCTTTTTTTTAGACATAATGCTATTGCACACTTAATAGACTACAGTATAGTGTAAACATAACTTTTATATGTACTGGGAAACCAAAACATTGGTGTGACTTGCTTTGCTATATTGACTATATTGCATTTGTCTGGAACTGAGCCCACAATATCTCCAAAGTCTGTATGAATTTGTTAAATGCATGAATGATGAATAGGATAATAGTTGGTGTCTGGACAAGGATTGAAAACTCCATGACTCTATATGCATTCGCCTCTCCAGTTTCCCTAGGAGGAAAAGAAGCAATGAAATGGCCAGTCTCCTGATCCAAAGGGTAACTATTCGCTGCGGGTCTTGAGGTTTGCTGGGAGGACATCTTTCCCCTAGAGTAAGACCTGGGAAGGGAGAGTGCAGCAGTGGTTGGCCTCTGGGGGAGACGGCAAGAAGTAGAAAGAACAGAAGATTTGAATATATTCCAGGGTTGGACTCTTCACCTCCCCAAATCTCAATTTTCTCATCTGTGTAGGGAGAAAGAAAAAGCTTCAAGGAGTCAATGAGATAATGCATATAAAACATCTCACACAGAGCCTGGCACACAGCAGGCGTTTAATGAAGGATCAGTTAACTGAGTTGAGCTAGATGCCTTGCCTCGATACTAGAAGGAAGCAACTTTAAGGCAACCAGAAGTAGTGTAATTTCCAGAAAATATAACATTGTTTACACCCCTGTGCCTTTTCACTTGTTCCCTCTGCCTAGAACTCATTTCCTCTTTTTGTGTTTGACAAAAACTATCTCGGATGTAAAGCCTTCCCCCGTGACTCAGAGGAAAATAAACTTCTCACTACTTTGTGCTGGCTGCACTGGAGCTTACATCCATCACAGCGTTTCATTATTCTTTTGCACATTTTTTTTAAAGTCTTCATTGAATTTGTTACAATATTGCTTCTGTTTTATGTTTTGGTTTTTTGGCCGCAAGGCATGTGGGATCCTAGCTCCCGACCAGGGATCGAACCCACACCCCCTGCATTGGAAGGTGAAGTCTTAACCACTGGACTGCCAGAGAAGTCTCAACTGCACATATTTTTTATGTGTCCGTCTCTCCTGTGGGCTTTGAGCTCCTTGATTCAATATTCATTCAACAAATGTTTATTGAGTCCTACTATGTGCTAAGTATGGCCCTGTGATTCATTTTTGTACCTCCAGGGTCTGGTATGTAATCAGTGCTCAATAAATATTAGTCGAATGTATAAAACAGTGAAAAGAATATGAACATTAACAGCATGCAGACCTGGTTTTAAGTCTGGGTTCCACCACTTTCTGCTGTGTAACTTCAGGCAAGTCACTTCACCTCTCTCAGACTGTTTTCTCATTCTAAGGTAGATGTAATATCTCTGTTGGAGGGTTCTAAGAGGCAATAAATGTGCAGCACCTAGAACTGAGTAAATGCTCTTTCTCCTTCCTTTAAGAGAAGTTTAGACGTTTGGGACCTTCCTGTGGCTGGTGAGGATGATGAAGTTCTTCATAAAGTGCAACGTGGATGAAAAAAATTTTGATTATATCATATGTTGGTGAGGTTCTGCTGGTGGAAATGTAAATTGAAAATTTGGAGGACAATTTGGCAGTTAACTACAAATGTGTATACCCTAGTGTCTTAGTCTGCTTGGGCTGCTACAACAAAGCACCATAGACTGGGTTGCTTAAACAATAGTTATTTATTTCTTGCAGTTCTGGAGGCTGGGAAGTCCAAGATCAGGGTGCCAGCATGGTTGGATTCTGGTGATGGCCTACTTTTAGACTTGCTGATGGATGCCTTCTTGCTTTATCCTTATGTGGTGGAGAGAGATAGAGTGCAAGTTGTCTAGTCTCTTCTTATAAGGGCACTAATTCCATCATGAGGACCCCACCCTTAGGACTTTATCTAAACCTAATTACCTCCCAAAGTCCCCACTTCCAAATACCATTACATTCGGGATTAGGGCTTCAACATATAAGTTTTGGAGGGACACAAACATTCAGTCCATAACACCTAGTAATTCTACTTCTTGGTGTTTTGAAAACTCTCACACATGTACACAAGGAGACATGCACAAACGTGCACGCTCTCCTGGACTGTTTGTAATGGCCCAACATTAGCCAATGTCAATAGGCTCGTGGGAGTTAAACAGGAATAGATTTAACTTATATGTATCGATGTGGAGAAATCTTAAAACCACACTGATATAAAAACATAATTTGTGGGAAAATGTACAGATTGAAGAAAAAGCACAAAACAATAATATATGTCTTAATGTATATGTATACAAAATGCACTGATGGTTGCTCCAACCAGAGATAGGATCCTAGCTAAAGGGTCCCAGGACATCTCAAAGGTTTCATCTTCTTTGCCTCATCTCTACATCCAGAGCTGATCCTCCTTATCTTTTAAGACTCAGCTCAGGGATCATTACTTTTTCCCAGAAAGCTTTATCTGAACATCCAACCACCCAACCTCTCATTTCTGGAACCCCACTTACTGGGATCTCTATGTTATAGCTCTACTCCATCATTTTATAATTACCTAAGTGATGTTCTCCCTCACCTAACTGAGCATTTGAGACCATGCCTAAGTCTTCCCTTTATCCTTAGGGATAAAGAATTTTAGGGATCTTCCCCTCTTCCTTGGTGGGATCACACTGGTGGAGGTTAGACAGCCTCCAGGAGTAGAAAACTGTGGGGTCCCAGCCCCACCCAACTGTATGGTCTCCATGAATGAAGTCAGCTTGCCAGCTGAAGTTCTGCATCCAGAGCCCAGTTGGTGGCAACCCCCTTGTGTATTTCTGTCTGTCCACGTGGAAAGCAAACACCACTCACCTTCACAAAGTGAGGAGCAGAGCTGCTTCGAGTGCCTTTCCATTTCTTCACCTGTAAAATGGGGGTAATGAAACTTCAAGGCTTTTAAATTGCTTTGAAATTTGGGGGTGCAAGGATCCCAAAATTTCAGTTAAGCTGTTACTACGGAGTGTGTGTGTGTGTGTGCGCACGTGTGTGCGTGCGCATGTGCACAAAACATAGAGTGAATTCTCCATTAACTTCTCTCTGTTGCCTTGCTGCCCATGAGGAGTAATCCTGACATTCAGGGCATTAATTTTTTTCTTTGAAGTTAAGAAAATGGAGTTCCAAAGAAGGAAAGAGACAAGATACACAGCTCTTAAGGTACAGAGTTGGGGCTTGAACTCAGATCTGGCTCCAAATCCCATTTTCTTTGTCTCTAGACAGAGGTCCTAAATAGTTCTCTTAACAGATTACCAAGCTAGTCGTCACTGTCTTGCCTCAGTCCTCTCATCTTTAGATTAAGCAGATTGGACCAGATCAGGGGTTCCCAGTCTACTCTGCAGACTCTGTCATTAGAATTACTGGTGGAACCTAGGGGCAAGATGGGAATAAAGACACAGACCTACTAGAGAATGGACGTGAGGATACGGGGAGAGGGAAGGGTAAGCTGGGACAAAGTGAGAGAGGGGCATGGACATATATACACTACCAAACATAAAATAGATAGCTAGTGGGAAGCAGCTGCATAGCACAGGGAGATCAGCTCGGTGCTTTGTGACCACCTAGAGGGGTGGGATAGGGAGGGTGGGAGGGAGGGAGACGCAAGAGGGAAGAGATATGGGAACATATGTATATGTATAACTAATTCACTTTGTTATAAAGCAGAAACTAACACACCATTGTAAAGCAATTATACCCCAATAAAGATGTTAAAAAAAAAAAAAGAATTACTGGTGGAGCTTTGTGAAAAAACAGATGGCTATACCCAGTGCCCAGAAATTCTGATTGACTTGATCTAGAGCAGGGCTCAGAAATCTGTACTTGTAGAAAGCGTTCCAGGACTTCCCTGGTGGCTCAGTGGTTGAGCGTCCGCCTGCCGATGCAGGGGACACGGGTTCGTGCCCCGGACCGGGAAGATCCCACACGCCGCGGAGTGGCTGGGCCCGTGAGCCATGGCCGCTGAGTCTGCGCGTCCGCAGCAGCCTGTGCTCCGCGACGGGAGAGGCCACAACAGTGAGAGGCCCGCGTACAGAAAAAAAAAAAAAAAAAAAAAAAAAAAAAAGCGTTCCAGGTGATTCTGATATGTGACTTGATTTGGGACCATGAGCGTCAGAGCTTCTCCATCTTGAGTGTGCAAAGGAATCATGTAGGGACCTTGTTAAATGCAGGCTCTGCCTCAGAAGGACTGGGGAGGGGCCTGAGATTCTGCATTTTTAACAAGCTCCCAGGTTACGCTGGTGCTGCTGGTTTGGGCACCGTGCTTTGAGTGGCAAGAGCCTAGGTCATATTGGACAGCATTCCCAGCTCTGACATCTTAAGATTCTAGCTTTCGCATGGCACAGGGATATTGGCTCGGTGCTTTGTGACAGCCTGGAGGGGTGGGATAGGGAGGGTGGGAGGGAGGGAGACGCAAGAGGGAAGAGATATGGGAACATATGTATATGTATAACTGATTCACATTGTTATAAAGCAGAAACTAACACACCATTGTAAAGCAATTATACCCCAATAAAGATATTAAAAAAAAAAAAAAAAGATTCTAGCTTTCTAGAGGGCTCTCTCAGCCTCCTCCTGCTCGCTCCTTTCTCTCTGCTCAACTCTTTGCTTTGACTCATCCTCTCTCTCCAGGCCCCACTATACTCATGAACACATTTAACTTTGGTGAGGCTGGACTCTCGACATTTTTCAAGATGTGGCTTCCCCATTTCCTCACAAGCCCCAGCTCTTAGTGTGTTCCTCCTCAGCACGCCAACATTTGACATGTCTCGGTCCAGACACCAGCTGCTGCCACCGTGTTGGTGTGTGGTTGTTGGGT